ATTTTTATGTGAGGAAGTTTTATGTGTCTAGTTCTGATCTGTAAAGTTTCGCACCATTTTGACTCAAATTGAATTTTTAGTCAATTTCCCAAATTGAAGTGTTTCTACCCAAATTGTTTAACAAAATATTTATTTGGTCATCTATGATTTACTGAAAACTACTCCATACTCTATTTGTTGAATTGTCTTTTTGCTTAGCAATGGTTGAAGACCAAATTGAAGTGCCTAGAAAATTAGGAAGGTCGTGCTATGTGCTGAAGAAAACTGTGTCTCGTAGGCTTGAAAATATGATAAAGAATTCTAGTTTTTCACTAGGATCATACTCTGTTAGCTTGTGTTTTCACTTTTAAAGCATTTTTCATGTTATTTTATTTCAATTCAATCCTGTTTTTCTACATTTAGATCTCTTTTTATTTCAATTCTTCATTGTATTCTAGTGGAAACTGAAAAAGTTGTCATTCAGTGTTTCTATATGCATTGAAAATATTAAAACCAATGAGCGATTGCCTTATTTGGGTTTGTGGTTCTCTTTATCTTATAATGTGTTTAGAACAATAACATTTAGGAGTCTAACTTTACTGAGGTAATATTCTGTTTTTGCATGTGAGATTATTTGAGGAGGTGGAAGGATTTGGTTTGGGGTTTTGGACAGAGGACCATTTGAGGTAAGAACCTCTTCTTCTCATTACCACTTGTTTTCTTATTAACAACTATAGTGGTTGTCAATGTCATTGTGGTGTTGTTTGTTTAAGGGTATTAAAATGGAATACATGTTTTGTATTGTGTTGAGAAGTTATGCAACCCATGTTGGTTAAGGTGTGGATTATACTTTGGATTTTATGATTTATGTTTTCTAATGGGTTTGTGCAAGATTTCTTGTAATTGTGTTATTGAAAATTGTTTGTTTTTGGTCTCTATATATTATTTATATTTAAATTCTCTTGGTTTTGGCATCTTTTTTACCATTGGCATTTCCTTGTTTTGTTTCTTTTGTAAAGGAAGATTGATGACTTTGAGAAGATCAAGCAACAATTGGCATAGTGCTTGGGAATTCCACCATATTAGATCATAGTCCCTATCCCACAATGTTAAAGATCATGACCACAAAACTTGGAATTACAAAGGCATAGTACACATGCATTTTTCCAGTCGAAACCTAGTCTTAGAGTGGGGGAATAATAACTGCAGAACTTGGGTTTACCAAGGGCAAGAATATATGGAGCTTGGCCTCCAATCTTTGAGTGGAGAGTTCTTCACACGTTTATGTCACTATGTAATGTGTACTTGAATAATTAGTACGCTTGTGTACTTTTGAATGAGAGAAACTTTTATTCATGTCATTTTCTATTGATCTATTTACCTTCTTTTATTTTTTGAAATTGCAAAATGTTGATGAACAAAAGGTTAATATTATCACAAAACAGAATATAAATAAAAACATTATTAACATTTAAAATAACAATATTTTAGCGACGAACCAAGTAAGCTTTAGCGACCAAATCCAGTTCATTGTTAACATTTAATAAAATAACCATATTTTAGCGACCAACCAAGTAAGCTTTAGCGACCAATTCCAGTAGTCACCAGAACCTATTGGCGACGAACCAATCCTTCCCCAATTCGCGGTAAATTTTTGGTATTTTGGTGGGAACTCGTCTGTATAGGCGACCAACTTTTTGCTGTTAGGCGACGAAAAATATTGGTCGCGTAAATATTTTGGCGACGAAAATATTTTTTCGTCGCCTT